TGTACAGTGGTAAATGTACATTTCTCTTCCTCCTAAAATCAATTATGAGTTCTTTAGTTTTTTTGATGTTAAGTGTGAGATGATTTTTTAATGCGTTCCTATGGGGTTTTTTGCCTCGCATAGCGACGAATCCGGATAGCGACGATTTTTTTTGGAACGGATTATCGTCGCTATGCGGGGCACCACTGTACTTACTCTCTGCATCTCTTTCCCACCTATTTTATTCATACTAAATCCCAGTATTTCTTCATGAGTTTCCTGCATTATAGCATCTCACCTTTTCTGAGGTAGACTATAGGAATTAGCAAAAGGTTTGAAAGATTTGCACTGACTGAAATGGTGTAACTGAAGCAAAGAAAGGACAGTGTAAGCTTCTGTCTTGAGCATAAATAAAAATGTGTCAACAAGATAATTTCTGCAATTTACCTATAAGGTTACCTGTGAAGGTGAAAGACAGTTTATCACAATTTGCATGATTTCCCTAGAGCTGTGTGAGGGTTCATTATTACGGGCTTCTGTCACACCCAATAAAGGACGAGTCGAATGTGTAAAATCAACAGTTTCTGTATTTATTGCAACATCAACATTAACTGGAACATCCATCCCAAAGGGGTTTAAGGTCTCTTGTGGCTCCAACTGCGGCCGCAAGGGTGTCCATAAGTTGCCAACAAAAGGATTATTATCTTCCAAAGTCCACGGTCCTGTTAGATCCTTCACAGGAACCGGGATGTCCCCCACTTCGTCTTCAATGGGGATCAAGGGTAGGGTTTCTTCGTCGTCGCTCCACCCCCATATGGACGACCCTTCTCCAGCATCTGCCAACCATGACCCGGGTAACCCCCCGTCTTTTGCAGCTCTGCAAGATGCCATGCCTTTTTACGTTCTATTTCTCTGACCACCGCTTCCCTTTCTTCCCTTAACTTACGGCGCCACTCCCGCGCTTTGGTCTCCCCCCAATATGAGGGTCGGGGTTTTAGCCCTTGTTGTCTCCTTCTTTCAGCTTCCTCGTGGGGCACTCGCACCTGCTCCCACTTGCTGGTCCATGGATTCCTCCACCCAGATCCATTCCCAGCTGCCTGGGATTTCCTCTTGCTTTTCCCTTATATCCACCACTGCCGCCTCTATCTCCTCCCTCTCTTTTCCCGCCAAAACTCTCCCGGGTCTCGGGGTGAGGGTTAACTCCTTCAGCGCCTGCCCCAGGTCGCTGGTATCCACCCCTTTGTTTATTCTAGCCGGCTCTTCGTTGATCTTCCCCCAAGCCGGGGTCTCCACCCCTTTATCTTCTCGACGGGGTGGTGAAGGAGGGGGAGATGTCTGGGTGTGTTGGGCCCTTGACGGGAGCGACGGCACTCCTACATATGCCTCCAACTTGGGGGCCTCACAAGCAGACCTGGGCAAAGTGCGGCCTGAGGGCCACATATGGCCCATGAGCCACTCCTGTCCGGCCTGTGGACAGTTTTGAACATCAAAACCATTTATAGACCTTTGTCTAAAGTTGATCAGTTGCTTATCTTTAACATACTGCAAAAAACCTCTTTAGTATTTGTGAAGATTAACATGTTTAAAATAAAAACAATCATAACATCACTGTTTCATTTTATTTTTAAGTAAAGTTGGTTCGGCCCCCAAACACAGTTCAGATTTTTCCCCCATAGAAACTAATTGCCCACCCCTGCCCTAAAGACTCTTTCCTTAGCAACCTTAAGAAAATTCTCTGGATCATAGGTGAGCAAAATGTAGCCCTCGAGACATTAGTAGACTGCAGTTCTCAGCATTTCTTACCATTAGCAATTTGCATTTGCACAGAGCTGTCCAGCAGAGCTTATTCAAGTGGTCAAGGGTCTAATTCACGCTAGCCCACGGGAAGAGAATGCATATTAGGCAGTTGCCTCTTGCGAAGTATTTGCACGACACTTTACAAGGAGGCTGAGTGGGTAGGAAGAGTGGTGGATGCTTCCTTGCAGCAGAGTAGGATCCTGGCATGCCCAAGGGAGACAATAGTCAGGTCATCATCAAAAAAAGACCTCCGTGGATCTCATGGTATTCTATAATTACTACCCAGGGAGGGTATATTCCTGTTGGTTCTCTTGGACCTCTCAGGGGCTTTCAATACTATGGTATTCCTCTGGCTGTTTCTCTAGGATGGGACTTGAAGGCACTGTTCTACAGTGGCACTGGTCCTTCCTGGAGGGGAGAACTCAGAAGGTGGTGCTGGGGGGGGGGGCTCCTGTTCAATGCCCTTACCATTGCCTGTGGTGCCCCAAGGGTTCTGTTTTGTCTCTCATGGGGTGCAGTGTCACCAATATGCAGATGATACCCAACTCTCCTTTCCATCTAAATCTAAGGAAGCTGTTTCAGTTCTCGATCAGTATCTGATGTCAGTAAAGGACTGCATTAGACTGGAGCTCCATTGGCTGCCAGTCCATTTCAGAACCCAAATCAAAGTGCTGATTTTAATCTCTAAAGCCCTAAATGGCTTGAGTCCAAACTACATCTTCCTTTATGAGCTTGCCTGGGTTTTAAGATAATCAGAATAGGCCTCTGTCTCTGTTCCACCACTTTCACAGGTGTGTTTGGTGGGGACACGGGAGAGAATCTTCTGTGTTGCTGCTCCCAGACTCTGGAACTTTCTCCTACAGGAGACCAGGCTGGCCAAATTTTTGCTGTCCTTGTGCAAGCCGGCAAAGACCTTTATCTCCAGACAGGCTTTTCGTTATTGACTGTCTACCTGACAGAGGTTTTTAAAAATAGGAATGTTTGTGCCTTGCTGCTTTTAAAACATGTTGCTTATAAAAAACATACTGTTTTTATTTACTGTTTCTAATATGATATAATGTGATGTTTGTTTTTCATATAGTAATAAGTTATTGTTTTTAGCTTTTAATAATGTTTTCCTTTAATGATGCAAGTTGCTTTGTGTACATTCAGGAGAAAAGCAAGATACAAATATTTTAGAGAAGTAAACAAAACAAAAACAGTGAGGGCTGGTGGGTTGCAGTCCTGTAACATCCAAAAAAACTATACTTTGCACACACACATAGTCTGGATCATGATTGCATGCACTGAACTCTTCCTTCCTTCCTTCCTTCCTTCCTTCCTTCCTCCCTCCCTCCCTCCCTCCCCTCCTCTTTTCTCTTTTCTCTTTTCTCTTTTTTACTGTAGCTCGTTCAGCAGAGCACACATTTCTGTTTTTCTCTTACTCATTTCCTGTAGTACAGTTTATGCAGCCTTTCATAAATAGAACCTAATGTAAGAAAAGAAAAAGTGTGAGTACAATGTGCATACTGAAAGCCTTTAATTATCCTTTGCCTTCCAGGTCATGGCTGAAAAGTTCCTGGAGGGTGATGTGCCTCTGGAGACATTCCTTGAACAATTTTCCTCTATGAGGAAGTTGTCCCATCTACGGAGAGTAAAAGTGGAGAAGCTTCAGGAGGTGCTGAGGAAATCGCAGTCTTCACAAGAGCCAGCCAATAGTAATGCATTCAGCCAGCAGCCACCTCCCAGCATCCCTTCTCAGCCTGCAGTTCAGCAGCTACAGGACCACTCGGCTGGGGGAGCACCCTATCCTTTACCTTATGGTCTGTCCCCTTTCATGCCTCCTGGCCCTTCAGCTCATGGAGCACTCCAACCAGTTCCTTTTGCACCACCACCTGCTATGGCAGGATATGCTGTATCTCAACCAAGTTCTCAACCTCCCTTTCCTTACAGTCCACTCTCAGGTCCCAGATTCCCATCTATATCCACTGGTGGCTCAGTACCACAGTCTCAGGAAGGTGACCCATCTTCATCCTCTAGGTACTCTTGGTCTCCATCCAGAGTACCTCCAGCAGGACCAGGATTTCCACAGGCCCCTCCCAGGGCTCCATCAGCAGGCTCAGGGTTCTCCCAGAATCCATATTTTCCACCAGGGGGAAAGCCATCATGCCCATATCCTACTCAGCCTTCAGTGCCTAGCTTTCCTGTTCCCCCATATCCCACAGGCCAAACCCCATATCCTCAAGCACCGCCTCTCCCCCCTCGAGGCCCTTCTTGGTCAGGATATTAGTTAGGGTTCCGATACAGTATTCTTTCACATGCTGTGTTCTCCTGAGAAAATGGTTCTTCTTAGCTAATGAGGTTCGACATGAAAACTTGAGAATGTCATCCTGAGAAATACATGTGCAAGTATTATACTGATGGTATGTCTGGTGTAATGCTCTAAGAGCCGGAAGGAATACTGCCCTTGCGAAATTCAGGTTATGACAAGTAGGCATTGACTGTGGGCACTTCTCGAATGGCCATCTGTGCTGGCCAAGGAGTCTGCTCAAGCCACAGTATAAATACAGATAAAGGCCCAGACAACTTAGCTGATGTACACTGGCATTGTTCCCATTAAGCTGCTTGAGTCTGGCGCTTCGTGTGTTTGTGTGTGCACGACTGTGTGCGTGCATGTAGTTATCTACTTTAGTATTTCAGAAAAGACACAAAAAGTTCTATACACCTCTATGTACACACATTCTTGACAGAGATAAATCAGTCAAGTAACACAGATTTTACAATAATGAATTTAGAGCTGATTTTTACTGGGGCTTAGAAACTACTAGAAAGTGAATTGAAGGCATGGCTTTCTGTTGGACATGTTTCAGATGTGTTATGTAGGTAAAACAACAGAGAAACAAGCTTGCATCACTTCCACCTATTTCAGTCAAGTGCTTGTACTAGACCTTTATACATAGAGTAGGGATAGGGAACCTTTGTTGACGTGATGGCCACATTGCCTCGTGGGGATTTTTCCCATGCTAGCAGGTCATGTGCTAAGTGGACTGGGATCAGAACCACAACATTCTTTCCCTCACTCCCTATCCATTTAAACCAATTTTAAATGCTGGTGAGAGAGCAAAAAGGGAGAGCCAGCAGGCTATAGGATCCTAACACCTGCCACAGAAGTTAGCTATCTGACCCATTCCTTCTGTCTAGCATATGCACCATTTCCAGCCTTGTCATGTCTCTTCCTCTGAGCAGTCATGCTGAGGGTACATGGTAGATAAGTTGGCTAAGTGAAAAGTATTAACTAGAGGGTTTCTTGCAGTGCTTGGAGGCAGGATTGTCCAACAGTTGCAGTTCCGCAGGGTTGACTTACAGGAAATCCAGTCACTATGCAGTTTTATACATGGGAGTGGCGGTGCTAACAGGTTGCTAATGTCAACCCATTTCAGTTGATAAGCTGTGTTTCATCAAGACATCTGTGGATGCCAATGTATCCGGCTCCCTCCCCTGCAGTGGCCTCTGAGTGTAACAGAGCACTTAGATAATGAGGGCCTGTGCCTCCCACTTTAGCCATTGTCAGGTGACAAGAAGAAATGTTGGTTACCATTCTAAAAAACAGAGGGGGCCTAATGGAAATCAAAATGGCTTTGTTAAGCACTTTATTCTCTTGCTTGCCCCTAATTTATTTATTAAAAAACAAGACTACTAACAGATATGACCAGGTTGAATGCTTTTGGAATTTGATGGAAACAAAATCATATCAGTAATAAAAATTTGATGACTTGCACATAGGCTTATGATGACTTTTGGAAATGGAAGTTGTGACTCATATACAGTATATCGATTCTTTTTCTTGCTTCCTAAGCATTTTCTCTTGTCCTAATTTGGATCAATAAGACCCTTCACTATTTAACTCTCACAGTTGTAGACTCTTTATACTATCGAACTTATTTTCTTGTCTTCTTGGACCTAATTAAGAGATACATTTGTGCATCTGTCTCCCCACGGACCAATATCCATTACTTTCATTATCTTTCAACCCCAGGCTTCCTTTGTCTTGTGTACTGTAATTTTCCCCATCCTTTTGCCTTTTTTATTGCCATCAGTTACTGAGTTGTTTTCCCTTATAATTGACCTTGATTTATGTCATATTGTTATAGGATAATTAAAAGTCACTGCCCTCTCTCTAGTAACTTAACCCTCTCTGATGTCCAGTTCTCCACTTTTGATCTCATCTAATGTTAGATCATTTCCCTTTTATATTGAGCTCCAATCCTGAAGCAAGATCAATATAGGGAAGATAATGTATTCAGCCATAGGCATCCTTCAGTCTCGGGAGACCATGGTAACATGCTCTGAATTGAGGAATGTCCTCTCCAGAGCATGAAGCCTGGGTAAAGTAATAAGGAGGATAGGCTGTTACCCAAGCAGCAAATCCCCCCTCTCCACATTGCTGGAATGGTCCAATGGAAAGGCAAGAGACAATACAATTGGTTCCAGCAATGTCGCAGGAGTTGGCAGAACGACACATGCTGCCTTCGGGACTCCAGCTCCGGATTTTGCCTCTAGGTTTACTCCTGAAGCCTTTTCCATGAGTGGATATAGCCACAAGGCAGTGGAGGTTTGAAATCGGAGTTTGAAATTTCTCGAGACTGAAGGATGCCTATGCCTGAATACATTATCTTCCCTATATTGATCTTGCTTCAGGATGTATTCAGCACAAAGAAAAAAAGGAGGATGGTTTTGATTTTTAAGAAATGGCCAGAATCCTGTTAATTCTTAATGATGATGGGAGGGTAGCTATATAAGTGTTTTTTGTGATTTGTCAGCTGTCTGTTTACATCCATAGTCACAATGCCTGGTTGTCCCATGGATTTGGCACCCAGGGCCCAGCCAAGTGCAAGACAAATAGCCAGCATAGGAGATAGCACCACTTGTACAGTCGCCCTGCTGTGATTTTGTGACTCAGCAGGATTTTGCCCAGATGTTTTAAATGACTTCAGGAAGTTTTTTCTTTCTTTCACTTTGAATGATGCTTTAATTCTGACCTTCAATAACTGCAGTAACTTTCTGATTTCACAATGGTGGCTGATAGTCCCCTCTCAGTTTTGTTACCTTTGCATGTCGCATTGAAAATTTGCCATGTGTAAAGGTTTGCAGATATACTTGGCATGTACCACAAATGCACAAAACTATGCAAGGTAAAGCAAACAAAAATAAAATGTAGCCATCCACAATAAATCCTGCTGTTTGGAACATACCTGTTGAAGGAAGTATTCCATCCCTTCAGGACTTTCTGGACTGGTCAGTTTTACTCCTAAGGAAACTACTTTTGGTCTTGGTACATTTTTATATTTTTAAAAATAATTCCAGATTTCCTCAGTGGGGGTTGTGGTGCCATTCATAACAACTTTGTCAGATAGATAATCTAAAATGCAGTTTTCATCCAGTGAGTTTCATGGCTGAGTGATGGTATGGAAAATGTTCTACATAGTAGTGCACTATTTCAACCACTGCTGAGTACTGATCCTCCTTTTAAAGATAAGTAGCAGCATATCTGCATGTGCAGCCATTTTTTTTGTATTATCATCAAAAATATGATAATACCAAAAAGAATGGCTGCACATGCAGATATGCTGCTACTTATCTTTAAAAGGAGGATCAGTACTCAGCAGTGGTTGAAATAGTGCACTACTATGTAGAACATTTTCCATACCATCACTCAGCCATGAAACTCACTGGATGAAAACTGCACTTTCTTGGAAAGAAAAAGTTCACTATAGAGAAATCCATATTCCGGAAAGACTTGTGCAGATAACTTACTACCCCAATTTGCAATTTCAGTGTATCTGTATTCCTGTATCATTTTTCAAAAATACTGTTATTTAAATAGAGGACTTTCTACTTCACCTCTGTAATGCCAGTTAATGATCAGATGTACCTTCCTTGTGAAGGGAGGAGCTAAACTAGAGTTACATTGGTTGTCTTTGAAATGTGGTGATTCATACCAGTGGAAATTGTAGTGAGAGGTTTGTTCAGTAGCATCACATGTACAGTTTTTCATCTAGTGTTCAGGCTTCAAATTGTGCCGCATCTTACTGTTCTGTTGTTTGAACAGTAGCTACAGGTAACTCATGCCAACTGTGAATGATACATGCATGGTCCCTCCCCGTTCTTATTTTCATCATCTGTTAGCTATTGGACGAAGAAACAACTTTCAAAATGAATTACAGTTTTTCACAAAGACTATGGATCTAACAGTTATTTAAAACCATACAGCCTGCTTCTGTATTTGCTCAACAACGACACATCTATAATTTATAAGCATCCAGTGTCCCACTTTAGATAATAGGACATTGGATACAGGTATAAGCTGTCATGCTTTGAAAAATGTTGAAAAGGAGCCCTGATGTGTTCAAATAATGACATATGTACTTGACTTAAATTTCCTTTCTCACTAAGCTAGTCAAATCTCCCACTCCACTCCCCTAACCACATTTCACAAAGACTATGGATCTAACAGTTATTTAAAACCATACAGCCTGCTTCTGTATTTGCTCAACAACGACACATCTATAATTTATAAGCATCCAGTGTCCCACTTTAGATAATAGGACATTGGATACAGGTATAAGCTGTCATGCTTTGAAAAATGTTGAAAAGGAGCCCTGATGTGTTCAAATAATGACATATGTACTTGACTTCAATTTCCTTTCTCACTAAGCTAGTCAGATCTCCCACTCCACTCCCCTACCCACATAATGCTATACCTTGTCCATGTGCTGAACTCTTCTGCAACCTTATTTATTTTTTCCTATTTTTGACTCAGTTAATAGTTGCCAAATGTTTTGGCAGTTTGTTGTACCCTGGTGCCCCATCCCTTACTGAACGGCATTCCAAATTTCAAAATGATTCCACTGGGAGTGATAGCAAGTGTACTACTAAAATTTAAAAACAAATGGCATTTTCCATAGGGATGTAAAACCTTGCTTCTCTCCTCCAAATGCAAAGAGTTTCTCCTGGCCCTGTGAAAAGTCAAGATAACTCTTGGAGACTCTCAGCAAGAGTGCCTACACTGGCAAGAACAATTTAAGTAATTGCAAAACTATAATGGTTTCTGCTTTGTTGCAAAAGTTTGTAGGGAATTAGAAGCATCCAATGAGTTATACTTTGGACCTTTCATTCTGTCCTTGTTTGTGTATGTGTTGCTTCTGCATTAGTTTTGTGCAAATTCTGCACAAATGGTGGAGTCCCTCATGGGAAGAAGTTCTCTATTTTGCTGTCACTGTGGAAGGGATAAACCTCACAAGGCTTGAAAGTCCTTGATGGTGTGTTTCATTGTGTCATGACACTCTTCAGCCAAACAAGAGCAAGGAATTGAGTGAATATTCTTCTGGTCCCTAATTTTCCAGGTCCTCTTAAGAGTGACACTCAACAAGACTTCATGACTTGAGACTTGGATTTACGGGGGATTCTTAATACAGCACCGCTCCATTGTAGAAATTCTGATTCTTCACTGCATTTGAAAACAAGGGCGCTGAGAGATAAGGAATTAAATGGTTTTAGGACCAATGTACCATACAATTCCACTAATACCATACAATTGCACTCATTTCACACACAAGGTTATGTTCAAAATCCTACAAGGTAGGCTTCAGCAGTATGTGGACCGAGAACTCCCAGAAGTACAAGCTGGATTTCAAAGGGGCAGAGGAACTACAGACCACATTGCTAACATGCGCTGGATTATGGAGAAAGCTAGAGAGTTCCAGAAAAATAGCTACTTCTGCTTCACTGACTACACAAAAGCCTTTGACTGTGCCAACCACAGCAAACTATGGCAAGTTCTTAAAGAAACGGGAGTGCCTGACCACCTTATCTATCTCCTGAGAAATCTCTATGTGGGACAGGAAGCAACAGTTAGAACTGGATATGGAACAACGGATTGGTTCAAAATTGGGAAAGGAGTATGAGAAGGCTGTATATTGTCCCCCAGCTTATTTAACTTATATGCAGAATACATCATGAGAAAGGCTGGACTGGAGGAGTCCCAAGCCAGAATTAAGATTGCCAGAAGAGATATCAATAACCTCAGATATGCAGACGATACCACTCTGATGGCAGAAAGTGAGGAGGAATTAAAGAACCTTGTAATGAAAGTGAAATAGGAGAGTGCAAAAAAATGGTCTGATGCTCAACATCAAAAAAAACTAAGATCATGGCCAATGAAGAATTGATGCTTTTGAATTGTGGTGCTGGAGGAGACTCTTGAGAGTCCCCTGGACTGCAAGGAGATCAAACCTATCCGTTGTGAAGGAAATCAACCCTGAGTGCTCACTGGAAGGACAGATCTTGAAGCTGAGGCTCCATACTTCGGCCATCTCATGAGAAGAGAAGACTCCCTAGAAAAGACCCTGAAGTTGGGAAAGAGTGAAGGCAAGAGGAGAAGGGGATGACAGAGGATGAGATGTTTGGGCAGTGTCATCAAAGCTGCCAACATGAATTTGATCAAACTCCAGGAGGCAGTGGAAGACAGGAGGGCCTGGCATGCTCTGGTCCATGGGGTCATGAAGAGTTGGGCACGACTAAACAACAAGGAAGAATGCAGGTGGTGTTTTGTTGTGATGGGTGAAAAACAGAGTTTTCAGTTAGCCTCTTCACTCCTTCAGTTTTATTTTTATCAAGTGCTGATTTTATCTGCTAGGGAGACTATGAACTGCATAAAATGCAAACCAGCCAGAATTTCAGAAGCCACAACATAACCTATACAATGGATAGGCTCCTTCACTGCCTTCGAGCAAAAACAGGATTCGGTGGGTATGGTTTACTGCCCTAGAGATATGAAAAATATTAGGGATGACAATTGTATGACAATTACATGCAACAATCATTCATACCTGTCATTTCTTATAGTGGCTGTGCAGAACATAAATCATAATCACTATCAGAGGAATTGTCCAGGGGATTGGAAATTCTGTTTGCTGTTCCTTCCAGAGCTGTCAAAGGAAAAAAGAAAAGAAAGAAAAACTTACTACTCAAAAGGTGCCACAGGAACAAATATATTAGGATATGTATTCCAAGCATATCCTTAAGCAATACCATTGCACATTTTAGTCAATAATTGTCTCATGTTGTTATTCCTCTTTGTTTGAAAACTTTGATACTGTACCTTTCCTCAACAGAGTTCTAGGTAGTTTATTTCTGACTACAAGGACCTGTCAGCATAACCAAGGATATTTACACAGTAACTGTTACAAAGATGTATCTGGAAGTTGAGTCATGGCAACTGGACTTTTTTCTTGTTAGGTTGAAACGTTTCGCTACTCATCCAAGTACTGTAGCTTCTTCAGTCTGAGGAGAGTTGGCGGGAGACTCCTGATATATCCCCCACAGTTGATTTCACTCCCCCCCCCCGGTCTGATTAGGCTCGTTAGAAGGACAAAGGACTGGGGATGAGGGATAATCCCATTTCTGCAGTCCTTCTCCACTCATTGTCATGGGTCGTTCACAGTAGTCTTTCTGGTGGGTGTGCTCCTGATCTTTCTGGGGACATTTCAACCTAACAAGAAAGTCTAGTTGCCATGACTGAACTTCAGATAACCTCACCTGGATGACTGAGAATCTTCACTATTACAATGACAATATGCTGTAACAAAAAATAATTGTTAGCCACCCAGAACTCTGCTAAGGAAAGTTAGTCTATTAATGTTTCCAGACAAAGCTCTAATGTACGATACATAATTCTATGTGAGTGATTATTCCAACAGACATTTATATGGAGAAAATGTTGTATGTACATAAAGGCAAACTGTAGGTTACTCAAGTCACAGGTTGGCCACAGATAAGAATCAGGAGTATGAATATGATACTGGGTTGTGGGCAGTACCCACCTATGTGCCTCATGTCAGTAATTTGAGTACTAAATTCATTTGATTTACTACCAAAGGTGCCAATTTACATGGTGACAGAACTAGAGTCCCGTGGAATAAGATGGGCAAATCAATATTCTTTTGTTTATGAGTTATGTAATCATAAGACTTTTGTGGACTGCCTGTTCTTTGTTACCTGCGTAGGGTGAGAGGTGGGTGTTTCTCTTGAAGGCATTTGTTTCTTCTTTCTGAATAAATTGGCTTTGAGGATGTGGTTGAAGGGTGGCTGAGCTGTTGCAATGGAATGACACTGCATGAAAGGAGAGAGTGGAATCCTTTTCAATACACCTTTAAGTTAAAATATATTAAATCATAAAAATGGAAACTTTAAAAAACACTCATCATTTTTGTCTGCTGCGGAAAGGTTGGAAGCATTGTTTTCAATAACTTTGAGGGTTACTCTTTGTCACTTTTTACACACAATTTATATCTCATGAGTCCCTGTATCATTGCCACAGTAGGGGACAACACCAAATTCTCCTGATCAGCCTCTGCAATTGCCCTCTGTAACAGACATTTAATGTACTCTTTCTGCATCACATCTTGTATGCATCTTACAGTGCAGGTATACATACCCATGTTTTTGTTTCTATTTTTTTTAAAAAATTTAAATGGATGATATGAAGATTTCTACTGAGGAAAGAGCAGCTTCGAGGAAAGATTTTTTTACTCAGTCCATGTGATAAGTGGGTGGGAAGAGTTCATATGCCCATATGCACAGATCGTGAATTCTCATTGCTGTTCTTTACACAATATTGTCAAAACTGAGCACCTTGACTGCAGTCAAACATTTAACAGTGCAGCTATTTCAGCTCTTAATGCTTCACTGTGAAGGGCAAAAGCAGGGGTAGGGCTGCAATTATTTACCAAAAATGCCTCGTTATTTCATGCCTCTAGGTAAAGGTTCCCTTGACATTTAGTCCAATCGTATCCTACTCTAGAGCATGGTGCTCATCCCTGTCTCCAAACTGTAGAGCCAGTGTTAGTCCGTAGACAGTTTCAGTGGTCACGTGGCCAGTGTGACTAGACACGGAACGCCATTACCTTCCCACTGTGGTGGTACCTATTTATCTACTTGCATTTTTACATGCTTTTGAACTGCTAGGTTGGCAGGAGCTGGGACAAGCGACGGGCGCTCACTCTGTCACTTGGATTCGATTTTATAACAGCTGGTCTTCTGACCTTGCAGCACAGAGGCTTCTGCAATTTAACCTGCAGCAGCACCACATCCCTAATTCCATTCCTCTAGGGGGAGTAAAAGCTCATATTGATGAACAGACAGAATAGCAGAACATACATGGATGCGTGCATAGACACAGCCATGAGGTTCATTACTCCACCACTCTATTTAGATGTAAATATAAAATGGTAAGGTAAAGGTAAAGGTTCCCCTTGACAATTTTTGTCCAGTCATGTTCGACTCTAGGGGGCGGTGCTCATCCCCGTTTCCAAGCCATAGAGGCAGCGTTTGTCCGAAGACAACCTTCTGAGGTCACATGGCCAGTGCGACTTAGACACGGAACACTGTTACCTTCCCACCGAAGTGGTCCCTATTTATCTACTTGCATTTGCATGCTTTCGAACCGCTAGGTTGGCGGGAGCTGGGACAAGTGACGGGCGCTCACTCCGTCACGTGGATTCGATCTTACGACTGCTTGGTCTTCTGACCCTGCAGCACAGGATTCTGCAGTTTAGCCCGCAGCGCCACCACGTCCCTCAAACATAAAATGGTAACATTGTGATAATTGGACTAGATCCTTAACAGCAAGGATGAGTATAAGACACCTTGGGTCTGCTGGTAGCTTTCTGGATGATCTTCAGTATCCTGGCAAGAATTTCTGACTTTCAATGGTTTAACAATAGCAGCAACAGAATGACTCCCTATTTAAATTCTATTGAACTGTGTCAAATTTGGAATATGTAGGAGTCACTTTTTTGCATGGAAAGTTTGTGAACGCCAGTCAGTAAGTAGCAAGGATACTCAAAACAAATTCCTGGGCCCAGAAATCTTTAATTCCAAGGCTCTGGCCAGAACTGATTTGGTTATTTACACGGGTATAACTTCAACAACATAAATCACAGCAGCAAACCACCATTAGTTAATGAGTCACTGCTTGGTACAGCAAAATCTGATATTTTTGACATACTGAACACCACTTTGTTTATTTAGAAGGAAACCAGACCCTTCAATTAAACGGTGTTGCAGAATAAAACAGTTCTTTGATGCCTATGACGTGGCCGTGTTCAATGATGGCTTCCTTTCAGTTGTTTGGATTGTTGCAGTAATTTAATTCTGTGTTAGGAAGATCCTTTCTATGTGTAGGCATGTATGTACTTTTAAACTTTGAAGCTAAGAACTTCACTGATGGTCAGCAATTGCCATCACCAAAAAACATGCACCTCAAGGATGGAAGGATAAGCAAACACTATCAACCAGTTTATAATGGCAATGTAAAACTTGAATAGACTATAATGTGCATTTAGTTTTTCTTTCATTTTCTTTAACAGCATTCACACATATTGTGATAGGTTATTTTTCCTTCTTGCAGGGGAAAACAGTTTGAAGGATAGATTCTGCGTTTTCCCCCATACCCAGAATGTTGGTTCCTTACCACTTTGGTTTGCTCCATGTGGACCAATCCATTGGTGCTGCTTCTTGGAATCTGTAGTGGAACAGAAGGAAAGGAAGGTCTTTAGGTGATAAAGCAATACAGATCATAGACAAAGTAAATACTGATTCCCAAACTGCATGCTTCAAAAAAAAAAAGATGTTGTCAAGGCACAGCAGTTTTATGACCTATACAAGCATTGCCAAAACTGTTACCATCCAGGCTGGATTACAAACCCGCTCATTCCTAGGCAACGTGGGCTTTTTCCAGGTTGAGGAAACCTCAGTTACAGTATATAGCATAACTCAGAAAGACTCCTTTTTAAAGAACTATAATTTGCAGAGTGGGAGTAGCCATGCCTGGGGATTCTGGAAGTTGCAGTTTTGAAAGGTAACCTTTCCAATCTCTGGTACACAGGATGTGAAGAAGAAACAGGAAACACTGCCTTGAATACTGAGCACAATTGGTGTTAATTTTCCCTAATCTGGAAGTATCTCAGTGTGTACCTTCATAGAGCTAGTGTACAGCATGAGGATGTAGCATAGTCTACTCTTAAAACGAGAGCTGTGAATTAGAAAATCCCTATGGCCGATCTCATCTCATGTCCTTCAGTGGCTACTCTTAGGCAAGCTACTCTCTCACAATCTCTACTCCACCCTTTGCATGGTTCCCTGCTAACAGTTCCATAGATACAGGTTTTTCTGGGGCTCCTGTACAATCATACGGTTGTGTGAATAGAGACCTTTAACTAAGGCTGTTCTTCTTTATTCAGAAAAGCTGCCGTATATATAATCAACACACCTAGATAGACCAGGCATGGATTGAGCAGAAGAGCAATGCTTCTAGTTTCAACTTCTCAGCAAAAGAGTGGCACTTACATTTCTTCATTACTTTTTTATAGATATGAGGCACACAGATCATTAGAAGGACAGCAGTGAGGACAAGTCCCAGCAGGATTCCCAAGGCAGTCTCTGTGCTGGAACCACCAGGCTTGGAATCTTGGCCTGGAAACAGAAGCAGAGATCAAAGGTTGCATCGCTCTTAAGAGCAGGGCTGGCTCAGGATGTTTTTCTACCTCAAGGAAAGCAGCAACTGGCACTTGCTCCCAACCAATTCAAGGGTCCCAGGACCCCAAACCAGACAGCTGTTTTGCCGCAGGAGGCAGAAAAATCCCTCAATGGCATCTCCCCATTCCTAGCAGTAAAAAGGCGAAACAAATTAAGTAGATTTTAAAAAATGCTATCGTTTCCTGACACCAAAATCTGCTGCCTCACTCTGCCAAAAAAACTAGTATGCGAGGAAGAAAGTTCCTACTAATTTCCTTAGTCTGATGGCTGATCTCTTTGACAAAAATGGGGGGGGGGGAATTGCAAAATATGACCCTTGACCTGCAGTCTAAGGTTGTACAATTCAGAATTCTACCATTTCAATCAATCACGTTTATCTATAGAATCTCTCTGACATATTTGGTCACCTCTTGCAACACTAAGGTGGTGTGTCGGCCTGTGTTATGTACAATCCAGATAACATGAAAAGCAGAACAAAACATGGAGCTTGTTTTCATAATCAGTCTTGCTCACCTAAGCATTTCACCAAGGTTATAGTCAAGCATGTTTCAGTTCCATCCAAACAGTTCAAGCTAAGGTTCCTTCTTTCACACTGTACTTGCTCCCAATGGACTGGCAAAGATTCCTTGCCCCTCAGCTCCTTCAGTCCTCTCAGATCTTCACAGCCTGCACCTTGGCAGCTCCTGGGTGCCAACCCATTCCACCAATTCTGTAACCCCAGGCAAACCATTTCCCAGCGGCCACCAAAGTTTAGTTCCACAGTCCCAGAACACAGTGAGGTTTCATCATTTAGCATTATCATTGGTGTATCTATGACAGAAAGAGATGGGGACGGTTAGCAAAAAATATCAACAAGGGAGTGTAGCAGCACAGCAGCTAGCAGTGTGAGCGGTGAGCTGCAAGTTATCAATTCATGATAACTTGCATTCCATGAAGGGAATGCTAATCAAATTTGCAAATGATATAACATTGGGTAGAATAGCCAATGCCCTGGAAGATGGAAGCAAAATTCACAATGATATAGATAGGCTTGAGCACTGGGTTGAAAACCAACAGAATGAAATTCAACAGGGATAAGTGCAAAGTACTGCACCTAAGAAAAAGAAACCAAGTACTGTACACAGTTACAAGATGAGGGATACTTGGCTCAGCAATACTACAAGTGAGAAGGATATTGGAATCATCGTTGATCACAAACTCAACATGAGCCAACAGTGTGATGTGGTTACAAAAAAGGCAAATACTATTTTAGGTTGCATTAGTAGAAGTATAGTCTCCAAATCCTGTGAGGTACTTGTTCCCCTTTATTCAGCACTGGTTAGGCCTCATCTTGAGGACTGTGTCCAGTTCTGGACAACATACTTCAAGAAGGATGCTGACAAATTGGAAGAAGTTCAGAGGAGTGCAACAAGGATGATTAGGGGGCTGAAAACCAAGCATTATAAGGAAAGGCTGAAAAAACTTGTCAGGTTTGCTTTGATCCATGCTTTCTACCTTTGTTCTAAGCCCACGGGGCTTAGCAAAAGGAGGGGGAAAGAAATCAAAGCAATCCCATGACAGCACAATAGTTTTGATCCCTTTCCCCCTTACACAGCCATGGGATTGCTTTGATCCATTCCTCCTTTTGCTAAGCCCCATGGAACTTACCAAGCAGAGGGGAAAGCAGGGATCAAAGCGATCCTGCAGCACTTTGATCCCTGCTTTCCTTTTGCTAAGGTTTAGCAAGCGGAGCTGAAGAACGGGGC